CATCCCCTCCCTGCACTGGGTTGTTGCACAGCTGAGGAAGCTCCCTGCACCAGGGTGTCTTGCACAGCACAGAGGTACAAGGCAGAGTCAGAGAGCTCCACTTCCTCCAGCTGCAGGACGCTGGATTTGCCCGTGGTGTTCAGCTGTGTGGTGAAACGGCCGCTGCGCTTGGGGCCAGACCCTGCTTGATAGGAGATCAGCTCTGGGGCTTGGCCTTTCCTCAGCTGGTACCACAGCAAGGCATTAAAAGTACTGGTGTGGTATTTGCAGGTGGTGTAGAAGGGGTGTCCCTGCTTCACCAAGACTGGTCCATCTTCCTGGGTGACCGTGTCCTGCCCTGTGGTGCCTGGAAGAAAGTGATAGTGAGCAGCTCCACAGGGAAAGACAATGGGAAGCAAATGGTAGTGCATGGAGTGGTGGAGAAAGCTCCTGCATTGGAGCAGAGTCCTGAGAGATTTTGGGCAGGAGTTTGGAGCTCTGTGCTCTGCATCACCAAAAGGAGAGGTGGGCTGTGTCACTGCTCCTGCTCCCTCTGTTTAAAGGACCAGGGAACAGCCTGCCATGCCTGAACTTTGTGTGCTGGAACCAGCATCCCTCCAGCTCCCTGAGGTGCCCAGCGAGGTACAGCAGTAAGGTTCATCCTGCTTTCCCCATCCCTGTCATACCTGAAAGCTCCTGAGCTCACAATAAGCTGAGCTTGCAAAGATAGAGCCCTGGCTGCGTCCCTGCCAGCGAACACGGGGAGTGTGGCAGAGCTTTGTCAGCATGGAGGCAGAATGGAACACCGTAATAATGTAATGACCTGAAAAACTGTGAGGCGCCCGGGGCAGGTTTCACAGAATGAGGGAATTTACATCTAAATGGGAAGAGTGCTCGGTTGTAGAGACAGCTAAGGTCTCTTGAAGTGACTGCAGGAGGATTAGAAGAGAGAGGCAGAGGCAGATGGATTGAAGGCGAGAGAAATAACATAGAAAGGACTGAGGTTTCACTTCTCTGCTTTCCCTTTTCCTTTACAAACCGACGAGCTTCTTCAGGAAGCACTTGCAAAGCCACAAACAAAAGCAGATTATTCTCAGCCTTTTCCCTTCATTCACTGCCACTTCCCCCATGGTCCTGATTAGGCTTTTGAGGATATCCTGGGCAGAAGGAGAAGAAGAAGAAGAACAGGTGTGCCTTGGGGAAAAGCCAGGACTTACCCAGGAGCTGTCCCAGGAAGACGGTGAGGATGAGATATGCGAGCTGCATGTCGAGAGCAAGCTGCTGAGCGACCAAG